TAAGCTGGTTTTAAAATCTCAAATTGCAATAATTATTCTAGTATTTTCCTGAATGGGGAAAAAATACCTTTTTAAATGTGTGATAAGTCCTATTGCACATTCTAAATTTTTTTTCTTAAGATTTTGTAGATAAATGTGTATGTTTTTTATTTAACCTTAGAATGAACAAAAAAATGTAATATAAAGGAAATGAAAAGATTTTATTTTCCTCAAAATATCTGGTTATTTTGGGCTGGAGAGGTGACTCGGTGGTTAAAAGCACTGGCTGCTGTTCCAGAGCACCTGGGTTTGATTTCTAGAACCTACATGGTGGCTCACAACCAACTGCGTAACTCTGATTCCAGAGAAGCCAATGCCCCCTTCTCGTCTCTGTGGGCACCAGGCATGCAAGTGGTGCATGCAGCCCACTCACCAATAAAATAAGTACCATAATATAACTAAAATATTCCTGGTGTTTCTAGTAACAAGTAAGATAGTAATTACGTACCACATTGTCTAATGTCCTCTGTCTCTCACAACACAAACCTTTCACGGGAAGGCATATGCTTCCCAGAGATTGGAATTTATTCTCATGTGTCATTAGACCAGTACTTAAAGATGACTGTTAACATTTGTGTGAAACTTCAGAAGATTATGTATGCATATATGTGTAAACAAAATTGTGTATTTATTCAGAGTTGTTCAAGAGTGAGAGACTCTTGTAGAGGAAGGCATGAAAAACCTCAATTGGTTTGGTAGCTAGGAACTCTTTGATGGCCACAACAGGGGGCCCAGGGTCTCTCTCAAGGCCTTTGAAGTGTTAGCCAGGGCTGAAATCATTCCATTTAACAAGATCAGAGGGTCACTCAAGCTCAGTCTTCTTTTTGTTGGCCAAGGGCCTCAACTTCTCTGCACCTGTTGGCCAAGGACCTCTATTTCTCACCGTGTAAACCCTCCCTAGGGCACAGAGTGACTTCCTAACATGGACGCTAATCTCTGCTCTAGTAAGGATAAGAGGTGTGGTCAGTCACTAATCGAGGCAAGCATTGTTAAATACCACCCTTAAGCACTAACTCCTGTATTAATGTACCTTTGTCCTTTCCTTCCTTTCCGCTAAAACATACAAGGTTTGAGAACACTTCTTGTTTTTTCTTTAAAGATTTATTTACTCATGTATTTTATGTATATGAGTGCTCTGTCCTCATACACACTAGAAGAAGGAATCTGATCCCATTACAGACGGTTGGGAACCATCATACGGTTGTTGGGAATTGAACTCAGGATCAAGGATACTTCTATTGATTTTCTTAGACTAGAAGATTTTTGCCATCTGAAAGGAAAAGATGCCCTAGGAACAGAAGATGAAAAGTAAGGGGACAGGATTAAAGAATGCAAAATAAGCCAGACATGATGGACATGCTTAGGTCCGGTATTTGTGAGATCGAGGCAGCAAGGCCCCTGAAGCCCAGGAACTTGCCATCAGCCAGCATACTGTAACAAGACACAGCTCAGAATCAAGCCAGACAATAGCAAAACAGCAAACACTGACAAAGTCAAAGGAGAATTAGTGAAGTGGAAAAGCTACGTGTGCTCCCAAGACCAGGGATAGTAAATACAAACTCTGGAGAAAACGTAGGCAGATATTTTGAGACCGGGCAGATGAAGGCCCAGGCAGGTGTCATTGAAGAAGCTGATGATGCTAACAGAAAACAACAGCAAAAGTGACAGCATTCCAGAGGCTCTGACAACACACAGGAAATGAGTCGCCTTCTCATACAGGTGAAGCTAAACCTCAGCTATAACAAAAAATGCATGCACAGAGCTAGAAAAGCTACGGAGCCCTTGTCTAAAAGAAGGCACAAATAGCATGGTAACAAAAGATAATAGTACGAAAGGAAATTAGTACCCACTGATGAGAGGGGGGCTAGCAAAAGAACCATGTGAGGGAACAGGATAGTCTGTGGGGGATTTAAAAACACACACAACTATGACAAGTACCTAGAATGAGCTGCTCCGATCTCAGAATTTAAATGTACAAAACTTGTTCCCTTCATCAGAAAATGCCTTAGAGAAGAGCATCACTAGCAAACATGAACATAGTAAAACCCCCACCATTGCTAAGGAAGAGAGCAGCTGGTTTTGTTTTGTTTTATTTCTGAGTTGTCCATTAGCAAAACAAAACTTCCCCTCTTTGATGAGAATGCACTAAAAAAATTTCTCTCCACCAAGCCTACCTGGCCTCTAGGAAAGAACAATTGGCCTTAAAATAAAGAGGCCTTGGGTCTCTGTTCACAGCCATCTGACTGACAGTTTTGAGGAAAAGGTGGCAAGCAAGGAAAACAACAGAACTAACTGTGGCAGTAAATGGGGTTCATTCTTGTCCACAGAGGCAAAATTTTTTCATCTATTCCTTCTGAAGGCACACAGATTTCTTTCTACTAAAGTCTCTTACTTGTTTTAGAGAACACTTAATACATTTCTACCGCAAAACCTTCAAGAAGGCAACACGACCAGTTAGCAAAGGCCTTTTCTGTTTCTCAAAAAATGTAGTAGACAATTTTATGGTATCTGTTCCTAATATAAGAATCATTTGGTGAGTTTTTAGCATGGGCCAGGTGATTTGTTCTCCTACAAGATGTACAGTATTATTTTACAGATATGGTGGTTTGAATAAGAATAGTCTCCATGGGCTCATAGATTTGAATGCTTAGGCACCAGCTAGAGGCACTGTTTGAGAAGGCTCAGGAGGTACGGCCGTATTGGAGGAACTGTGTCACTGGGGGCAGGCTTTAAGTTTCAAAGGCCCAAGCCAGGTTGTGTCCCTCTCTGTGTGCTTACAGATCAGGGTGTAGTTCTCAGCTTTTTCACCAGCACCAGCCATGATGATAATGGACTAAACCCCCAATGACATACTTCCATTAACAAGGCCACACCTCCAATAACGCCGCTCCCTATGAACTTGTGTGGCGGGCCATTTTCATTAAAACACCATGACTTTCCTAAATAGCTTTGCTTCATATGTCAGGTTTTGATCTCAGGCTATAGGGAGAGATGTTAAGTTTCAAACCTGTGGCAAATGTCTGAGGTGCCTATTTAAAATGTCTAAGCAGACCTGGCCACCAGGTTCTCCCAGTATCCCTCAGTCCCGTATGTCTAATATATCCCACCCTCTGTCCTGAACTGTCCAGCCCAGGGGCTGGGCTGTCCTAACTAGAGGCTCTTCCCCATATAATCCAGATGTTTTGGTTACCTACCCCTTGTGTGCCTTTGTCCTCCTCCTTTCTGCTGTGCATTGTCCTCCCCATCTCCTCATGTGGCCCAGCTCCATCTGGTCCTGTCTACCCAGGACTCTTCCAGATGTCTCTGCCTCTGACTATGCTCTCCATCCTATCTATAACAAACTTTCTCGTTCACCATACCTAGGAGCAGTCACATCCTTCCCTGTGTGTGTGTGTGTGTGTGTGTGTGTGTGTGTGTGTGTGTGTCTTTCATCAAACAGTTTTGCAGACAGGCAACAGGTCAGGTCCTGAGGTCCCTTCCAAAGAGAGACTCTAGATGATTTCTGGTGTAGTGGGAAAAGGACAATCGTTCGCTGAAAAACAAATGTTCACGTAACTCAAGGAACCCAGCTTCGTTCAGTGAAAACAAAACCTCAAGTTACTCACTGAAGAACAGTAAAGCTACGGAGGTAAAGCAAACATGAACGTTAAGAATTGCTGTATTCAGAAAAGCTCACAGCAGGCACCCACACTTTGATACTCCTGCTGCAATCTCGGGAGATGTCAATCACCGCGTGTAGTGTTTTTGTACAGTACTTGGTGGACACAGAGAGAATCTGGCTGCAGTTATGAATTTATTCTGGATTGGGCCCAGCATGCAGTATAAACCAGTATCATAAACTAGACCTGCACTTTGTCACACAGACCTACACCCCAGAGGGATGTTCCTCAACCTTGCCCTCTCCCAAACAGGGCCTTAGGCAATGTAAGTGCGGGACATTTTTTTTTTTTTTTTTTTTTTTTGGGTAGCAACATGAGGTAAAGGGATCCTCCCATGCCCCCTTAGCCACAACCAAAGAATTAACTAGCCTGTTAATGGCATGATGTGGTGCCTGGATGGAAGGGGTGATTGATTTGTGACAGGAGGGAGTAGTTTTGGTCACTGCCTATTGGAGGTCAACAAACTTCAAATACTAATTCTTGGGCCAAGCCACTATTAATGGTAGAGAAAAAAAAAAAAAAATCACCATGAGTCCTAGAATGCAAACCAGATAGTGATGGCATTGTTTTCCTTTCTGTCTAACCCAATACATCATCCTTAAGACCAGGTTTTGGGTTCTTTCTGCTATCGTCGCTGGTAGCGGCCTCCTGAGGCTTTTCTGACAAGGGCAAAACGAACTCCCCCTCCATCCCCCGAAGCCCTGTGGCGCCAGGGTTTCTGCGTGGGTTGTGGGTTTCTTCCCCCTCCGCCACGAGTGGTGGGGAAAGCAAAACACTTGGGGGATGAGGTGTTTCCATAACGTCATTTGTTTAGTCTACATGAGGGATGCTGCTCTTTCACGGCAGGAAAGCGGTGGATTCCAGAAGCTGGAACTCTGACTTGAGACGGTCCTGCACCGGGGAGTCCTGCACCCCGGGAGTCCATCACGTGGCGATTGCTTCCTGGAGGGTGGCGGGAACCCAGTGGGGCGACACCCGATCTCCGCGGCCCCGGGCCGGTTCTGAGTGCTCAGGAAGCCCGGGACGCGGAGGGTAGGGACGGCTGGGGATGGGGAGGTGATGGGGGGAGACGCCGGTGCGCGGGAAGCCACAGGAAGAGGAGGGATTCCGGTCTTTTGTCTCTCGGCCAGAGCTCGCAACCCGCAGCCGGAGCCTTAGCTCTGCACGCCTGGGCGGGGCCAGCAGAGTCCCTCCGTGAGGCGTGGCCTGAGCGATGGGTGTGGCGAACTAGACCACACCCCTTCGCGAGTCTTTAAAAGCAGGCGCGCGCTCCCGCCGGTTTTCCGATCCGCCCGCCCGCCCGCCCGCCCGCCCGCGGCTTTGCTTTGCCCGGGCCTCGCTAGCTCCGCCTGTCGCGTGCTCCTGCCTCCCACTCGGGTGAGTCCCAGGCAGCCCGCTGCCCAGCGAGCGGTCCTTGTCACCTCCACCCCTGCTTCTGATGGTGCTCCCAGCATCCTCCCACTTCTGCCCCATTGCGGGGCCGTCTAGCACACCTGCTGTCGCCCCTGTGGCCACCCGTTGCCCAGGGACCTCGTGTCCTGGGGGCAGGTAAATCATCCCCCGTGACCTTTAATTTCAGAGCCTGTTTTCTGGGGAAGAGGCGAGTGGGGAGTTTCTCGTGGTTGCCCAACGCTCTTTTTGTAGCCTCTTCCCGGGTCGTTTTTTGTTTGTTTGCTTGTTTAAATCTCACCTTCGGATAGGAGGGGGTTAGAAGCTCGGGTGCTCCCTGTATCCCGAGTATGTGCATAACCAGCCTGGCCGACCTTCTCGGGAACTGGGTGGGTGCTCTGGTGTGATAGGCGCCTCCCCAGATCCGGATCCCCAATTCTTTCCCTGCGGTGGAACGGAGCTCTTGGCCATCGCCTTTGTTAGGAGGTGTCTGCCCACCAGGCACGGAATCGTACATGTAGGAGAAACCATACTGACATTCCAGTTGATCATTCCTCGTACTTTCCCTCGTACTTTCTACCTTCCAGACACAGCATTGCTTGGTTTAGAAATTCTGCAACAGGTCCTAGAGGTCACAACCTAGGTTCAGAGCTGGATTCTTGTGTAGGCATTCCTAGGGTGGAGGAGAATGATCTCAAAGCTTCTGTCCCTTTGGAAGCCAGGACGTTGAACTTTATTTGTTTACATAATTACTCAAAAGTTTGACCTGTTTTGTTTGGACTGCAAGCCGCATACATTTTTTTTTAAACTTTATAAATGGTTTTTAATACAGAAAACAAAACATACTGCATGTGGTTATTTTTTAACTTGGGCAGCGAAAATAGTTTAGTGACTGGCTTTCCTAACCTGTGTTAAATCTTTGCTTACATAAAAAAACCAAGAATCCAAAAAGGACAACCATAAGGTGCACTATACTTGCATACAGATTCTTCAAGAAAATTAAAAAGGTTGATGTCAAAAGAGCCCTACAATCTCAAAACTGCATACAAATGATTTTTGCGTTCCTATTCTCTACTGTTCTCTTGTAGTTGTTACTGATAGCTAATTGCATCACTAATTCTCAAGACTTTTTGTTCCCTGTATTTTCATAGCCAGGTAGCCATGCCAGTATATATCCCATGAGTCTTTGGAACACTGTTTATTTAGTTATCTTTAAATATGGTTGGAGCACACCTCAGCATTAGTTAACGAATAAAGAAGGGACAAACGAGGTGCAGTTGTGGGTAGCAATAGACATTGGTTAACAGATTTTGTCCAGAGTTCTTACCATAAATTGTTGGTAGCTTCCTCCCGGTGTTTTCAAGATTTTGGCTGATGTGGTGTATGCCAAAGACCACACTCAAAGCTGAGTGTGAGGACTAGGACTGTCCCGATGAAACACACAGTTTATCAAAAGATAGCATGGATGTTGATGCAGAGTAGGGAGGCCACAGAGAATGAGATACTAGGTCCAGGCATAACCTTATCAATAAATAGTGATGGAGAGCTCATCTCTTTAATTTTAGTTCTGTTACCAATTAGATGAATCAAATGAGACGGAGAGAAGGAACCCTCCAAGGGACAGGAGACATAGCCTGGGGAGGGTAGAGATAAAGTCAGTATTGTGATTCCCAGGTCAATACCCATTGGTTTGCTGCCCTTAACAAGTTAAATGTCTGGTTGCAGTTACTTCCTCATACTTTCCTAAGGGTGGGGTGTAGGAGTGTGTGTGTGTGTGTGTGTGTGTGTGTGTGTGTGTGTGTGTGTTGTAAATCCAAGGTGCAGTCCCAGGGGGGTGTGCATGAGTGTTTTGGATTCCCCCTGCTTTTAGACAAGATCCTGCACTTTCCTGAAACTTGAAGTGAAAGGGTTCTTGGTGGAAGTCTTCCGAGAGAGTGCTGGCTTCCACTTGTATAGCATCTCCCAGAACGTCCCTCCATCTGCAGACCTTCAGAGAGTTCCTTAAGGATCTGTCACTGCCTGGCCTGGCATTGGCTTGTCACCTCTTAGGTTCTGTTGGCTGGGTGTCACCAGGCAACCTTTCTATGCCTTCCCTTCCCTTCGTAGGAATCCTCTTTGTGTGTCACAGGCCTTTTTACAATCCTGTGAAGTATCTGGACCTCTCCTCCAAATGCCTGCTTTTTTTGTTTTGTGTAGTTTGTAGTATTGGGATTTGAACTCAGGGTCTTGTGAATACTAAGCAAGGACTCTGAATGGAGCTACCGTCAGCCCTTTTATTTTTCATTTTGAGTCAAGATTTTGCAAAGTTTCCAAGGCTGGCCTTGAACTTTAGATTGTCCTGCCATAGTCTTCCAACTAGCTGGGATTACAGATACATGCTACAGTGCCGTGTCCAAGCGTTTTTAAATATATAAGATACCGTGTGTGGGACTGAGTTAACCAGTCCCCAAATTTAGAGAATTGTATTTCTTACATTAAAAATCAGGATTCAGAGGAGTGTTTCTCATTTGAACGCCAGGGAAGCAAGGCACAACTTCTGATTGTTAAATTTTTTTGTTGTAAGTCATAGAGGAAGAACTAACCATAGTGTATTGTGTGTGAATTATTTGCAAAGACTGGTAGGCTTCTTGTGTTTTTATGGTCTTGTGCCAACAGTACTAATTGCTTTTGATTAATAATAGGAGATCAGACAGTTTATGATACATGAAGGTGAAGGGACTTGACAGTTATCCGTAGAAAAAAAATGAAGGGAAAATTGAATCCAGTGTAGCAAATACTAAGAATCTTTGTCAAGGCCATAGATGATGATGCTACCATTTTTTTGTGGCTGGTAGTGAGCTTTGTTGGTATCCTAAGTCAAATTGGTAATTTTGTTTTCATATTTAATTCCTGTCAAGTTTTCCACTCATAAGATGGGAACATGGTAGTGCCTACTTCAGTTGTTAAATTAATAAACCACTTAACAAATGAATATGGTAAATATGGTAATTACTACTGCTATGTAACAGACACTGTGGTAAGGGTTTTACATACATTGTTTAACTTCAGAAAGCTTTATGGTATAAATCAGCATTATTAATATAAGAGAACTAGCAGATAAGATACAATCTTTCTCATTTGCCAAATAAGCAGGAATCTTGGCATCTAAATCTAGGTCTCACTCCATGAAGATGTTGAATTGTGTGAATAGTGAAGTATCTGGTCATATTCACAGACTGCCAATTGCTATGGCATATGTTGGTTCAGAGAGTACCAATCTTTGAGTGTAGCTGCATTTAATCATAGTATGTGCCTGGGCAGGTACTGTTCACATCCATGTAAGAACTGTACCATACTCCTGTTGAAGGCATTGCGGTAACAACATGGACATTACTGAAAATGGAGAGGTCAGGTTTACTCCTTTGAAGGGAGGGTTCTTTGGTGGTGAAATTAAACTTGGGTTAACAGAGAGGAGAAGGAGTTTTTGTGTCCATACTGGGGATCTGAACTCAGGGTGTCCCTTGTGAGGTTGTGCCACACTTTACTGTGCTGTGTCATCAGCTCTGTTTCCATATTTTTAAAAATCATTTTATGTGTATGAATGTTCAGCTTGCATGTATGTGTGTGTACCACAGATGTGCCTGGTACCTGCGGAGTCCGGAAGAAGGTGTGGGACCGCTAGTGGTAGAGTTACAAAAGCTTGTGAGCTGTTGTTTGGGTGTTAGGAACTGAACCCAGGTCCTCTGGAAGAGCAGCACGTGCTCTTAGCCACTGAGTTACCTCTCCAACCTGTTCTCCATCAGCAAAGAACAAGTCCCTAAGAAGCAGACACTCTCCCACGTAATTCTTTTATGTGTGGGAGTGTGTTTGCCCATGGTTGACAGTGCCTTTATTGCTGTCCACTGTCTATTTTTTTTGAGACAAGATCTCGCCAGGCATGGAACTAACTATTTCTTTAGCTGAACATGGCTGGCTAGAAAAGCCCCTGAAATCCTATATCCTTCCACCACCCCTAACTTGGGAATTACAGCGAACACCATTACCTTTTCATGTGGATGCTGGAGATCTGAACTCAGGCCCTTCTTTAAGCTTATGCAGCAGACTCTTATTGAGCACCCTGTTGTTGTTTTGCTTCAGCTTCGGGCGATGAAACACGTGGAGTTTATTGGGGAAAGGGAACAAGGGTGGAGTAGGTGTTGACCAACGGGGAACAGAGATGGAAGGGGGAGAAGGGGCCAACAGGTGGGAGGTGCTTACTTAAAAGGGAAAGCTTGCACACTAGTACAGAGTCCTTATGCAGACACATCACCCATAATACATGATGTAGTCACGAAACACCGAGCTCTCTGAGCTGCCTAAGTATCTGTCTGCATGCCGGTGTGTGCACCCTGCCAGTTGTCGGGGCAGGGTCAGCATAATGCCAGGATACCAACAGTCTCTCTAGCCCCTGACTCTTTTATCTTCAGCCCCTAAACCAATATGTAGTATGTGACTTATAATACCTTTGCTTGGTTTGGTGCACTGCCAGTAGTTGAAGTCCCATGCATGTGACATGGGTGCTCAGTGAAGTACACCTTCAGCCCCCAGGAGGTAGTCGTTGAGTTTTATTTAGAATGAGTATGAGCAGATAATTACACACTTAGAAGCCGCCTCTCCCGCAGAGGAATCTATTTACAGAAATGAATGAATTCAGAAGTTACCTGGATGGATGGATGGATGGATGGATGGATGGATGGATGTCAAGTGCCTTCATAGGCAAGGGTTAGGAGGATAAAGAGAATGGATAGATGAGTATTTATAATGAAGTTTATATATGCCTCTGGGCCTGGTGGCATCATCTGGTAACCCCAGCTACTTGAGATGCTGTGTCAGGAGGATCCCAGTTCATGACCCACCCGAGCTAAGAGCAGGTTCACAGCTAGCTGAAACAACTTTCTGAGATGACTTACTGTCTCAACCTTTTTTTTTTTTTTTAAAGTGAATATTAGACTGGGGGATATACGTCAATG